CTTTTTTTTTTTTTTTTTTTAAAGTTCATCTATGTATTTTGAGAGAGAGAGCAAGCACATGCACAAGTGGGGGAAGGGCAGGGAGAGAGGGAGAGAGAGAATCCCAAGCAGGCTGTACACAGTCGGCATAGGGCCCAATGCTGGGCTCTGAACTCACAAACTGTGAAATCATGACCTGAGCCAAAATCAAGAGTCGGACGTTCAACCAACTAAGCCACCCAGGTGCCCCAGGTATCTTTGTCTTTTATCTTCCAAATACACTATAATCTTATTAATACCTCCTGTAGCAAAGTCTCATTTTCAAAAATTGCTTTCTCTATTCTTATTTTACATTCTTTTCAAAAGCCCCCACTAGTCTTGGCTAGGCATTTTAGAGGAAGAGAATCTGATGAATCCACCCTAACAGAAAAGTAACATAGTCCTAAGACTACTGGCAGTATTTTAAAGGATTTTTAAATGTTTTTAAGGGGTGCCTGGGTTAAGTGTCCAATTCTTGACTCCAGCTCAGGTTATGATCTCACAGTCATAGAATCAAGCCCCACATTGGTCTCTGCACTGGGCATGTAGCCTGCTTAAGATTCTCTCTCCCTCCCTCTGCCTCTCAAGCGGGTATGCACTCCCTCTCTCTCTCTCTCTCTCTCAAAAAAAAAAAAAAAAAAAAAAAAAAAAAAAAAAAAAGCCTATTAAATCTAGAAATCTCAAATTGCTGAAACTGCAGACAGCTCAATAAAATAGTGAAGGTTTTCAGGAAGAACAGAAGTATATTTCTGTTGGGGAGGGGTGCAGACAACTATCTGCTCTGCTCATATGTATAGCCAACCAAGTACAAACCATAGGTGACTGACTCATTTATGCATTATGGTCTTACTAGGCATTTCATTTTTACTCTATCACATAATTTTAAAAAACGGTGGCAAAGAAGAAAGATTGTAGAAGTGATAAAACAGATTCATTTAGGAACTGCCATTGTAGAAAATCATTACCTGGTTATACACAGACACATGTACCTACATTGTAGATAAACACATTTCGTCTTACATACACACACACACACCAAAATTAACTATGTTGTCAGGCCATCTGGTGCTAGACAAAATACGAAATGTTACAACCGCTCCTGAAGATATCAGTGGATCATGCAAGAAAACATTTTTATCACACAGTACCTTGGTCATGAGGGGTCACAGAATAATTTTATCTCAGGCCTCAGAACTAGAATTATCTGTTTCCCTTGAACAAATGGTTTGTTATATCTTTTAGACACTGAATCTTGGAAATCATTATGCTGTTCCTCTTTGGTGGCCCACCTTTAGCCAAACATCACAGGATATGGTCTGAGGTGTACAAAATCTCACCCAGGGCTTTATCTTTCAGTTTCTTTAAGTCCTAATTCATTCACCTAATTCATCCTTTTATAAAGTATTTATTTTTATACACTAAATCAACTCCTTTGTGGAATAAGGAAGAGAGGGAATAGATTAAGAGAGTGTAGTATGAAATGCTGGATAGGTATGACAACTGTCAATCACACAGTTGAACTTACGCTTAATTAACTGTTGAGGTTTACTAAAACAGAGAAGTAGATAATACATCATGTAACACTCTTTATAAAAGAAGGATAAAGCAAAGACTGAGCATTAAACTGATTAACTTCAGTTATGTTAAGAAAGCATTTCATTCATTCACAAATCAGAAATGAAGTACCACTAGATATTAAGGATATGAATGGAAATCCTAAATAACCTGACAGAAGGATAATGTATTTTAGCTGGAAAAACCCAAACTGCCCCCACTGTTTGCCCCTCTTCATCTATACCAGGCTGAAGGCTCAGCCCACATCTCCCTTCATCTGCAAAAGAATCTGCTCTGGTTCTAGACTTTCCTATCTCTTACAAGACTATCTTTCTAAACATTCTGTAAAGAAAGATGATCAAGAGCAAATCTTTTTCAAAAATGTGTTTATTAATCTTTTATAAACTGTAGGAAATTCAATGTTAACAATCTTGGCAACTAAATCTAGGCTCAATCTACCTCCACTGATCTCTCTTTCCATTCTGTTCTGAAAATATATTTTTCAAAACGTTTTAAATATTACCAAACTTGTTCTTTACAACAACCCAGTTGAGGCAAGTATAACAGGTAGTTTTCTTTTCTTTTTTTTTTTTTAAGTTTATTTTGAGAAAGAGAGAGAGTATACACATATGCAAGCAGGGGAGGGGCAGAGAGAGGGAGAGAGAATCCCAAGCAGGCTCTGTGCTGTAAGCAGGAAGCCCAATGCAGGTGTTGAACTCAAAAACCATGAGATCATGACCTGAGCCAAAATCAAGAGTCAGATGCTTAACTGACTGAGCCACCAAGGTGCCCTGCATGACAGGCAGTTTTATTCCCCATTTCAAAATAAAGAAGCTGGGGTTCAGAAAGGTAAAAATCTTGCCCCAGGTAAAAATCAATAGTAAATCTTAAGCCTACTATGACTAAGTGAGATTTCACTATTTGTTTTCTCAAAGTATGTTGCTTTAACTACATCTATCCTCATTTTTTATCTTTTCATTTCAGTGGAAATGAATTATCAATCTACAAAACATACTGTAAAAGACATCAGGGGCATTACAATAAACCTGCCTTCTAAGAGGTCTGCTGGAAAGAAATACTAATAATACATAAATAAGTATGATGTGAGACAAACCATTAGTGGTTCATTAGAGATACTACCAAAATGTCACAGAAATAACATGAAGACTCCTGGGAGTAATGTGATCTTGGAAAGCTTTCTGGAAGAGATGACACTTTAGCCAGTTCTTAAGAAAAGATAAGACCCCCATCAATAAAATCCAGGAGAAAGACATTTAAGGCAAAGAGTGCTTGAGCAGAGGCTCAAGAGGTATGTTTGGGGTCTGGCAGGTGGACTATCATGCCAAAAATACAGATTACTGCAGAGGATAACTGGTTCCAAAGGCAGGCAGGAAACATTTTCCAGAATCTTTGATTTCTTGGTAGGTAGTGCAGAATCACTAAGTTTTCTAAGTAGGAAGGGAGTGTGACCAGCTGGTATTATTTTTGTTGTGTTTTCTTTTTAATTTTTTTTAATGCTTATTAATTTTTTAGAAAAAGAGAGAGAGACAGAACACAAGGAGGGAAGAGGCAGAGAAAGACAGAAACACACAATCCAAAGTAGGCTCCAGGCTCTGAGCTGTCAAAAAAATAAAGAAGCATTTAAAAAA